TGGTTGGTCAACCGTTGCATCCCGCTCCCTTCGTGCGCGACCTCGGTGTACTCTCACGCTGCGACCTAAAGTCCATTGACAACACGAATAGGCTGTACCAAAACAGCCTTCGTATGCTTTGGGCTCTCAGGCGCAGCTTTAGCACTTGGTCCGAAGAGATTGCTTCTCGCCTCTTCGTCTCGATAATACGACCAATGCTGGAGTACGGCACTCCCGCATACTGTCCCATCACCCGGGGCGAAGTAAGAAAGCTTGAGCGGGTGCAGCATGTAGCCACGCGGCTGATTCCCAACTTACGAGATATGCCATACGAAGACCGATGTAAGAAACTAGGGTTATACACCCTATCTTATCGTCGGCTGAGGGTTGACCTCATCATGACGCACCGGATATTACATCTGGGTGAATACCTCATGTTGAGACAACTACTTCATCTGCGCACACCAAGCTGCACGCGAGGACACCGGTATAAACTTATCGTCCCGGATTTGAAGCGGGTCGCCCATCAACTCTGTTTCGAACGCAGAGTCGTGTATGTCTGGAACGACCTGCCTCAGCATATAGTAGAAGCCAACTCAGTGTCTAAATTCAAGATGCTACTAGACCAACCATTTGCAGAGGCAAAGTACAGAGAGCGAAACAATGAATAAAAAGTTCATGTCCGAAAACGACGAATGATGCAGCTACACAGAGCAAACTCTACTCGCTGCTTCGCACCAGTTCTCATCATCATAATCATCTTCATCATTATCAGAAATACACCTCGGCTAATGTGCCGCAATACAAAAAGATAAGAGACTACAAACTTACATTACAAAAAGAGATTCCAAACAGCTAATGTGATGTTACATATTATATTACGCGTTTTGTATGAGATCGGGATTGGAGGGAGAATCTACAAGGGAGGGGAAGGGACAAAGAAAATCACAACACAAACGCCATTGGGGCCGACTCTTCGCCGTATCAGAAGTATGTCTAACCAAATGTGTTCTTCGTTCTTAGGACCCCAGTCAAGCAGTCGGGATGCACCAACCGACGCCAGTTTCGAAGCGAGGGTTTTCATTTCTCTCGACCAAGTCATCGTTTGGTCTCCCCTCCTCTTCCAACTGCACCCCCGGCGCGCAAACAATGTACCTGGTTGGAGTCGGTGTACTGTCATGCGCAACACATGGCCAAGCCATCGGAGTCTGGTGCGTGATATAATGGTGCTGAGCGGTTCATTCCCTCTTCCTGCACCAAATACGCGACGCCGAAAACACACATTGCTTACGCGGTGCTCTCACTAGACATGAGCTAAGCTGCGAAGGCAGCGATAATCGAACGTGGCAAGCCTCTTTTTGTCTGTCGACCTGATGGGCCAGGTTTTACAACCGTATAGGAGAGTTGAACGGACGGCTGCGTTCTAAACTCTGCCCTTCAGGGCGAGAGTGATGTCGCGTCTACGCAACATTTTTCGGAGATTGTCAAAAGCACCTCGAGCTCTGTTTATTTGGTTCGTAACCTCCTCGTCGATCCCACATGTGCTAATATAACTGACCAGCTACTTGAATTCCTGAACGACTTCTAGCTGGTCACCACCAAGCGTCAGCGCAGGAGGCGGTCCCTTCCAATCTTGAGGAAGGACTTTGCTTTTTGATAGACAGCCAGTGCTAATCGGTCCAGTACTGCTTGGCGTGTTTGAGAGCTATCACATATTATTGCAATATCATCCGCATACTCCAAGTTAAGAAGTCGCTCACCAGGAAGTAGTTCCACACCTTTTAGGTCGTGTCCAGCGAATGCTGTTTTCATGACTTCATCAATAGCGAAGTTCAAGAGACAAGGTGACAGCGGGCAACCTTGTTTCACACCGCTTGTGATATTGAAGGGATGCGACAGTTTTCCATAAACCCTCAGTCTGCCCGAACCATGCTCGTAGAGCGCTTTTATAATGTTTACGTATTTAGCGGACACATCTTTTCTTAGCATACAGTCCCAAAGGGCACATCGATCGACTGAATCGAAGGCACCTTTTATGTCACAAAACACGACAACGGTGAGTCGCCAGTAAACATGGTGGTGCTCCAACAATTGACACAAGGTGAAGATGTGGTCGGTGCAGCACCAACCTTGACGAAACTCGGCTTGCTCTTCACGAATCTGGCTTTCACAAGTGCCAGTCAGTCTGTGGAGAACGACAGACGCAAGCAGTTTAGAGGCAGCTGGGATCAGATTGATCCCTCTATGGTTGCCGCATTCCCATCGTAAGCCTCCCTTGAAAATTGGAACAGTGACGGAGCTGCTCCAGTCTGTCGGGATAGTCTCCTGCTTCCAAAGTTTCACTAGCAACTAGTAAATCATCTACTAGAGCAGGTCCTGCAAATTTGTAGAGAGCTGGGTCAATTCTGTCTGCCCCTGCGGTCTTATGCGATTTCAACAGTCTGATCTCACGTTCGACTGCTGCGCTTGAGGGCGGATCCAAGTACGCGGCCCAGGGAGAAGGGCGCTCAAGGCCCGAAAAAGAAAGCGATAACTCAGGTTGGTTAAATTGCCTTGCAGCGTGTTCGGCCCAACGCCTCAATCGTTTTAACGGGCTGTTGATCGGCTGTGCACTCTCATCGCGTATGGTCTCGCTAACACCAGGTCTCCTGCTGCCTGTTTCCCCTATCAGACGGGATAACTTACGATGATTACCAATGGCAACGGCTGTTTCTCTCTCCGGAGGACAATGAGACCACCAGACTTCGCCGTCTCTCTTCAGGCTAGCACGCAGTTTTGCCCTGAGATTTTTGCGAGTCTCATTGTATTCGCTTTCAGTCGGAATACGTCAGCGAGCGTGCATAACTTCCAGAAACGGTGTAGAGACCCAATGTCCGGTTTAGCAATTTGATTTGCCACATGAAGACACCTGCTGATAGTAATGTTTGGCGAGTTTGCATCCAGTGATCTTCGACGGTGTTCAGTGGACGTCCACTCTGCCCAGATGCCACCGTACTTTGATACACATTCAGAATGCCCAGCTTCGCCAGCTAGCTTGTGTCATTCCGTCCACATCGACTTTGCGGACGTCCGCCGAAACGCACCCGGAGGTCGGCTTAACAAGTGCGTGGTCAGAGTTCACGTTTGTGCTCCAAACCGAGCGACAGTCTTGGACAGCCTCCAGCGGTAATTGATCGCGGTATGATCGATTTGCGTCCATGGCTGGTGGTCGCCAAGTCACCCTTCTGCGGGTGCTGTGTCAAACGTTTGTGCTCGCGAGAAAGAGGCGTGCATCTTCACAATGGTGTAACAATCGCTCACCGTTATCGTTACGAGAGCCTACACTATGTTGGCCGCCCAGATGAAGCTCATCAGAAAACAATTTTCCGACTTGGGCATTTAGATCAACAGCTAACACCACAGTATTCGTGCTTCTTCTGTAACGAAGGAGATCGTTAAGTTGATGATAGAAATCATCTTTCACCGAATCAGTCCTACAGTTTGTAGGGGTATAGGTTGCACGGTTTGTCCCCGCCCGACTTTGAAGCGTGATACGAACCAGCGAATTTAACGGCGCCCATTCGACTGTTGACTGAGATCCAATCAATCAGGGCAGCTTCAGCCCGGCGGCTCAAAACAATGCGGACGCCAGCTTGACCGGCATTTGAAGCTGCATCATCGCCAGACAAGCACAATGTGAATGTGCTGCCAGCGTCGCATGTAGGGGATCGCTGGATAAGCAGGGAGCTCGAATCTTGCAGGCGGGTTTCTGCTAAACAGCAAATATCGATCGATAGGGTCTCTAGTGTGCGGGCAAGTGCTGCCTGTTGGCCAATCTGTAACAAAGTGCGCACGTTGAGGCATGCCATTCTTAGCGAGACGCGAGGATTCCAAAGGGAAACAGATAAACTGACGTTATCCGTTTGGTTGAACATGGACTTGTCGACTGGATTGGAGCGACGCCCTGCGACTGTGTGTGAGTTGAAACTAAGAGACAAGTGGCTATTAAAGCAAGGTGGGGGAGAGCCAAGCATTTTGATATTACAAATGGGGGGTAAAAGTAAAGTGATGATTGCGCGGCAGCAAATCTCGGTACTGTGTATTGGCGTACTGATGATACCTCCTTTCCGTTACACTAACCTATTTGTTATAGAGAGCGATGGCAAGGACTGTTCAAATGTTGCAGGTATTGAGAAGATACACTGCAATTAGCCTCAGGCAGACAGCCACCACACATCAAGGAAAGCGCTAGATTGCCGTTTTGTTCTATTGGGATTCGTCAGTAAGGGTTCGAATTCAGCAGGATTCCGCAGGTGCGCGCTGCTGAGGAGTCACAACAGGACGAAACGGTTTTCTAGCACTCTAGATGTGTTGCGGCTGTCTGTCTAAGTCTAGCTGCGACAAATCTTAAAATCCAATACATTCCCCCACTACTCACTGATGACACAACTATATTCTATCAAGTCAAGTATGTGCCTTAGATTCTCTTCCCTACTTTTACATTCCCATCTTAATTGCATCTTCCTGCCAAATGGCTCGCACGCCATCGCGCTATATCGCAGTTAGTGTGCAAGTCAAGGCGGTCTGCTGCCGTCCCCCGTGACTTAATTGGCATCAGCGCAAGTCGCTAATAGTCATGGGTTCGGTTCCCGATGAATCCCAAGAAGAACTGGCTGTCTGGCGCTTTTCCGGATTGATGGTAGGGTATCTGACCAGTAAACCTACTATAAACTCTCAGTGAAAATTGTTATGCTTTCGCTAGCATGCTGGAAATTTTCCCCAATTTTGCTGGTTTTTAGTTGATTCGCAAAGTCACGCCTCACACAGAGGTATATTTTCCTCTCACTGGTTGAATACAGCTGCATCGAGCACAACCTTCAGTTTTTATATTTTCTACGGTTGACTTGTAATCTCGTTACTTCTCGGCACCTGTTATCCTGATGTCTGCTACTGGAAAATCAATCTTTTCCATAATCTTATGCCGCTGTTCAGCCGTATCACTGTCGCATTCTTCTGCATTCTGCTTCTTCTCTTCTGGATAGGGCATTCCACTTGGTTTGGCAGCTTCCGTCCCGTTTATTTTGCAATCGGACACCAACACAGCAAGCTATCAAACGCAAGCAACCTTCTCCCTAGCGATGTGGCCTTTCTCTCTCAAGTTACTTTGGGCTCCTCTAGTGGACGCGCTGTACAGCAGTCGTATTGGACGGCGCAAATCTTGGCTTATCCCCGTCCAATATGCCATCGGTATCGACCTGCTGGTTTTGGCCACACACGTAGATGAATGGCTTGGGCGAGAGCCCGGGAATCCGTGGGGTTCTCTCGGTGTTGCAAATCCGGTGAACATCTTCAGCCTTACTGCTGCATTTTTCGGCCTCACCCTACTGGCTGCCACCCAAGACATCGCTGTGGATGGATGGGCATTAACCATGTTGTCGAAGTAAGTTAACGACGCGATCTAAGGTCATCTGATCTGGCTTTTAATTATGCACATCCTATTCTGATACTTCACCCGTCTTGATAACCCTACACACTGCACATTCTTTTTCTAATGAACTTTGTTGTTATCTAGTTTTCCGTTATATCCCTACTGATGCATTTCACACACACACACACACTACTACTACTACTTACGATACAACAGTATATGCTAGCTCTTCTTTCTTCGGCCACTTACTTGTTCCCCACATTTTACTTGGCTTTCATCCCATATATATTGGGATCTCCCGGGCCCTGTACCTGTGATAAAACTAGGATATCTCTCGGTTCATTATGTCACACATTCTGTTGCCCTGGAAGATAATTGTTGTGTTCTAGAACTCTCCACTGCGTCACGATTGTTTGGAAACGCCGAATACCCAGGGTCACGTTTCTGTATCCTACGTCATCTATTCTCTTTTCAATCATCACCCTTTCTCCACTAACTTTTTATACTGCACACCTCATCTACCTCTCCGCCTTTAAGTACTTATTACTAATACTACTGCCACTACAACTACAGATTAACATGTTTATGATTCCATGTGCTGTACATACGAACTCCATGTCGTCATCCCCTGCACGTTCGATGCACAGTTTCGCCACCTCATTCATTTTTCTTTACGATGGTGTTACCGATACCGTGGTGGCGCGATCCGTCGTGAGTGCGTTTTCCGCGTTTTGCATATCCGAAGGCCAAATTCTTTTACAGAGCCACAGACCATCTGATGTCCTATTGATTCTTTCGGATGAAGAACCGGTGATGGTTAATCAATTCACCTGTCTTGTCCGCCCCATTGGCAGTGACGGGCATGTAACTGCTAAAGCTCACTCACGTACTGCACGAACCAGAATGATAGCGAAAATTTGCTTCCCTTTTGCTCTTAAACATTGTGTAGACATATCCGCATTGAGATCCGTCCTCTTCCAAGCCATTTTTGTTCTTTGTTTTTTAATTGTTATGCGTTATTTTAATGTAAACAAGTATGTACACAGATCTACCACTGGTTTCGGTTGCGAGCCATATCCTGAATTGCTTCGAGCCCTCGGCACTCTTCGTTCTTAGGTCCCCAAGCAAGCAGGCGTGTGAATCCAACGGCAACAAAACGTGAACTCCTTGATTTCCTATGCTGTCGCCTGGTGGATGGTTGACCGCCTCGCGGTCTCTTCCAGTCGAGTCCCGCAGGAGCAGACAGTGCGATAGGGCAGGCGCACAGCTGACATACACAGGACCTAGCCGAGCCATCTTGACTGACACACTAAAACTAGTTTGTTGAAGGGAATACTCGCATTCCCTAAGGCTTGACGTCTGACTTCACTGTTGCAGACCAGCTGCTACTACCACCCACGATCAATTCTCCTTAAGCACCCATTATCAAGGGCCGAGAGCCGACGCATGTAATCTATGCGCACTTCTCATGACTCGTTGCCATGTAGCGACGACGGCACAACTGTTGCAGATTGACAAGCGCAGACCTGCTTTCAGCGACACGAAGAGTAGTTTCTTTGTTGATAGCGCCACCAGCAGACACGCAGCTGTCCAGGTAAACAAGGCTGTCAACAAGTTCAAGCCGTGTGCCTTCAAGACTGGTCACAGAAACAGCTGAATACCAATCCTGTAGCAACACATTGCACTTTGATGGGGCGTAGCACTTTGATGCCTCCATCGTTAAACAGTTCTGCACCATGCCTTAATGATCCATTTTTATCGTTACTCATTAATGGCTGTGGCATCAGCATGAAGTACTGAATCACCTTTGTTGTTGCTGCTGTTTGTGTATTCTTTGTCCCAATCAAGAAGCCATACTAATTCATCTATCATCTGCTTCTATTTCAAATTCGCATTTATCACCGATCTTCACTGGTGTTCCATCCTAAGCTTCGGGTATCTTGCGTCATCATTTCAGGCGTAACATCGGATGGGCTTCGACATGCAACACCGTTGGACAACCACTGGGCTACGTGATTGCGTTCATACTCTTTCTGTGCCTGGAGTCTCCCTACGTCTCCAATTCGTTCCTACGCGTTACACCAGTCGAAGGCAAGGGGCTTATCAGCTTCTCAGGTATGGTTTACACTGTGTAGGTGTTTTCAAGTTATCATATACGTTGCCATTTGATGCGCAAGCATTCTCCACTTTTCCCCTCCACTCCCAAGGTGTATTCTTTTCACCGTGTTATCCGGCTGTTTTATACTTTTACACTGTCTTCTTACTTTGTTTATCTTGCACACCCGTTTAATCTGCCTTAACACCGCCTGCTTGACCTCATTGTGTATTGAACACCGTCTCAGTTATATTCACATCTGTCTCTCTATGTTGCTGTTGTGCTGCCGCTATCGTTCATCTCAAATCACATCAGTTCAGCTTTCGTTTACATTCGTAGCGCGCGACCTTGATCCCCAGATCTCAGGGCGTAAATCGTCCATGGATTGACCGAGGCGGCTACAATGCGATTTTATCGCACCACTTGTACGGCGGCATGAACATAACAAATGGGCCATTGTGATTCGATTGTAAGCAAATATTTTTGCAATACTATCTCAGAGCATATGGTATTCATGCCTACCTTCATGGCCATTTGGGCGAATTTGCCAAACGCATCACGCAACTTACTTGCCTTCAGACATATCTACACATAGTGACAGAGTTGCGACATCGTTTAACGTGTACAGTAGGTGCGTGGTTGGATAATGTGTTCATTCGTAGCAGGCGCCTTTACCCATCGGAAGAGGGTGCCGTGGCACAGAACCACAGTGCTTTGGGCGCTAAAACTGACACGAGATGACGATACACGTTCCTCAGCGGCCCACTGCAAAGTCGGTTTTATTCTAACCTCATGATTTGACCGCTACATACATCATTTCTTGTTATTGTATTGACACGAATCAAGTAACACGAACAGTATAGGTTCTTGTTGCGGCCCGAAAGGAATCCGCACTGCTCCTCAGCCACGTTTGATTTATGGACCTGAGTGACGAAGCGGTTGAGCAGGTTTCGGGCAATCACCTCTCCGATGCATATTAGCAAGTTGATGCCACGATAATTGTTGACACACTGATTGCTTCCTTTGCTCTGCATTCAACTCACTAGAACGAGCTGCTTTATCGCGATGTCTGCTAAGGAACGGCGTTCCTGAAAAGTGCGTCGCTATACTTCGGACATTATAACTTCATGCTTCAGACATGGTGAAAGTCTACGACAAGCTTACTGCACTGTTCCTTGTCTCCGTTTCTCTTCAACGTTGTGATCAAAGACGTCCTGTTGTGGGCTTTATAGGAGCTGCAGAGATTTGGCGGTGAGCTTCTTCTGATAATCGCGCAACCGATTTACATTACACAGATGATATCGCCTTGCTCGCCGACGACGACTCTTGGTATGCAAGTGGTTCTTGACCGACTGGTGGTTGAAACGTCTAGCATTGGTATGTGCTTTGGCCCCTGCATGTGTAAACTTCTGTTGCAGGATTGTCAGACACCCGTTCCCCAAATTACCATTGAGGGCACAAAATTCGAACACATGCATTTCTACCGAAGGCAATATTATAGAGTAGGTGTCCCTTCGTATCGCGAAAATCAGGAAGGCTTTTTACAGCTTGGGGCGTCGTTGCGACATCTCGCTGTCGTTGAAGAGCATGGCCTTCGATTCCATTGTTCACGTGATAATGTTGTACGAACGCAAATCCTGGTCGATCCGTGTAGTTGATATTCGTGAACTTTCGACCTTTAACAGTGGATTTTTGCGGAACATCGCCTGTGTTTGATGCAACGTCGAGTGCGCAATGATGATATCAAATGCCACGTCTTGGCAGCGCGGGTGTTCCCCTCTGTGAGCTTGTTCTGTCGCACCAAATGAAATGGTTCGGCCACGCTCTACGAAACTTTAACAAACGTTTGTTACGTTGCGCCTAATTTTCGCTCTCATGACTACATTGGATTAGCGGCCAGCCGACCACTTGGTGACAAAGCATGAAATGCTTGACATCTTACCAAACCATCGCTGGCACAACACGTCTACACGGTTGGCCACCGAAAGATGAACTATGTCAACGGCCTACAATGCTAGAAGCAGTAGCGCAAAACCGGTTGCGATGGAAGCAATATACAAAAGTTTGTATGGATCCGCGATCTCAAACTAAGTTGCTTTAAACAAAAAAGTGCAACATGGCGTGTGACAAAGACGGAACAAACTGATGCTTTTCTGTGTCCCCTCGCTATTGGTTGTGCCTCCTACTATTTTCTAGATTTCTAATCCATCCCATGGTTGTGATTGGCTCGGTGTATTTTATTATAGCCTTATATATATTTCTAATTTATTTAATTTGTTCTGCCTACCGGAATAATTTTCTATTAACTTTCTACGTTGCTTACGGTAATTGTGCTTCTCTTCGTTAACTTTCTTGCGTTTGTAGCATTTTCTAAGTCACTTCTGGACATTTTTTACTTATCGCGGATTCGTTGCTAACCAACTTACTTCATATGCTAATTTGGGGAAGAGTTATGTCTGCATAGCCGTCTGCTTTAACTGATATATTTTATTTGTTACTGTCATTTCAAGTGATTGGCTGTTGTTTGACATCCCCGGTGTGGCTGCGCTTGATGTGCATGTTGACAAGGTGTCTACCTGTCTATTACCCACTACCTCGTCCATACTGGCTGCAGGAGACTGTTGATCGTTGCTGGAGGGGACGGGTTGTACGGTTCTTGTGGCCGTGCTAGGCTCAAAGAGCGGTTCCATGCACTCAGTGTGGAGCGGACTACGGTCCAGCCACCGCCTTGTGTGCGCTTGATTCCCCAAATACAGCGTGCTTGTGTTTGTCTGTGAAGGAGTGTGGGCCGGCTCCGTTGATAAAACGTGGCTCCAATCCACATGCCTCCCGGTCTTATCCCATATCGGGTTTACACTGGATATGGGGTGTGTGGATGGAGCTGTGAGTGGTGCAGCCCAAGCCACCCATGGTCCCTCTGTAGGGGCGGGCGTCCTGTGGCTGGCCACAGTGACAGGGAAATCCGGAACCGGATGCCGCCAACCATATGCATGTAGGCGAGAGTGTATATGATGCTCTGAGACTGACGGTAGCTAGCTCCTTGCAGATGCTCTACTCACTGCTGCTATTGTTGTGCCATGGGCTCATGTCCTCTACGCTTCCTGGCGACCGCCGGGTGGGAGTTGGGTTACACCCTTCTCCTAGATAAGAGCCAGTATGCACGCGTCAGTGAATGAACCATGTGCTAGACACGCTACCTTTCTGGTGTACATATAATCGAAGGCTTTGTCTGAGGACCCGAGTCGTTCTTCTGTCAGGTTTTGACGTCCTGCTATTAATCCTAGTCCATCTTCTTCGGAAGTTAGCATGTGGTCGACGGCTCTCTTCTCTAAAACCTATGCATGAACGACAACAAGTCACAGCTCGATTGGCCTAGAGCGCGATCGCCACGCATTTTCTCTGACGGTGGGAGGGCACCTCCGGGTGTTCAATGGTTTGCTGCTGCCCGCCTCAAGCCAGTCAGCCCCTGGTCAAATTGGTGCAAACCCGTCAAAGCCCTCCTGCGTCTTGCCGTGGTCGCAGGTGCATATCTTATTACGGTCGCAAAACACATAAGAATCGTTCCATAACCTCAAATGCTACGTGTGACGAACGTCAAGCAAATCCCAATCTGTCTCTGCAATCACATTCCCGAGCTACATCTGCTCCCCACTGTCTTGTGGGTATGGCTATTGAGCCAAATGCTCGGGGTGGAGTACCTTAAGCAAACCTCCAAAGAGCAACCGCCAACACGAAGCGTGCGATTGCCCATCAGTGCAATCGTATGCCTGCGCGCAAAGCACTCAACATCGGGTGCTGGAACGTGCGCACACTACTGGACCGAAATTCGAGTGAGCGCCCTGAGCGACGGGCTGCACTGGTCGCGATGGAACTGTTGCGCTACAACATCGATATTGCGGCACTCAGTGCGACCCGGCTCGCTGGACAAGATAGGTTGCTTAAAGCTGGTGCTGGTTACACGTTCTACTGAGTGGGCAACGCCACCTCCGCATCACGTAAACATGATGTCGGATTTGCAATATCCGATCGCCTAAATGGCCAGCTGATTGGGTGAGCCGACTGGCATCTATACGCGGCTGACGAGTGCTCGCCTACGGCTCGGGAGTGGTAAGTTTGCCATTTTTATAAGCACGTACAGTCCGACAATGTCTTGTCCTGTTGACAAGTGTGAAAAGTTCTACGCTGTTATTCCCCTTGATACGGTCTGTGCCGATGAGCGACCGACTATTTCTGCTGGGTGCTTTCAGCGCACGTGTTTGGCGTGATGCATCGGTGTGGACAGATGTCACTGGTTCAGCGCATGCGAACGGTGACAGGCTGTTCTCACAGGGTGCCACTCACGGCCCGACGATCAAGAACACTCGGTTTGCACTGAGTGCGAATGATATAGCAACTTGGACGCACCCACGGAGTGGTCACGCTCATTTGCTCGACTATGTCATCGTACATCAGGATGATATGCATGAAGTGCGCATGGCACGTGTACTGCATGGAGCTGAGTGTAGCACTAACCATAAATTGGTGCGCACCAAACTGTACGTATATTTTCGTAAATCTATGTATTGCACTCCCGCCGTGAATCGGCGTAGATTTAACTTTCCCTCCCTCGGTACTGTGGCGAAACGTACTGAGCTGGAATAGGCGCTGGCTGAACGCCTGTGTGATGTGGACTGCATTGTTACAGTAGGCGACCTGTGGCACTGCCTTCGTGACCAGGTGACAGCTGCTGCCGAGGAGATCATCGGGCGCGCAAACTGTAAGCGGTCTGATTGATTTGATGCGAACAATGCGACGATTGGCGCATTGGTGTCGGGCAAGAATGCAGCATTTGCTGCACATGTGGCAGATGCCAGTGACTTGGGGAAGAAGAGTCGGTTTCGCAAACTTCGATAACGACCGACCCGAGAGCTCCGTCGGATTAAAAATGCATGGTGGGCGGAGAAAGCGAAGCAGATGGAATGCTACGCCGGACGCCGCCAACACAAGGAATTCTTTGACGCATTAAAGGCGGCGTATGGAC